GGTCCAATGTATATATTATTTAATGAGACAATTTATTGGATAACAGCATGTATATAAAAAAAATACTCACAGTACGAGAGATCAAAACTCTTTGGTGATTTTGCAGCCCAGAGTCTCATGGTGTTACATGTGTTGTTGTTATATCCAGGAATTGGCTGATCATATGGCATGGCAAAAGTAGTGATGGTGTCCACCCAGCGATAAGTCTTAATTCCACTGGCATTTGACTCCACCCTACCACAAAACTCAACAGGAATCATGTACTCTGGTCTGGCTTTTTCCCAAGTTTTCCAAACTTGTGCCAGTCATCTGGCAACTCCATCTACAATCAAAACAAAACTGTTGTTAGCTTATTAACCTACAAATACAGCTGTCTCTATTTGCCCCTTGCAGTGCCACTAGGGACGTTTTGTACGAGCGATGCCTGCACTTCTGTCGTTGAGACGTAGACATCTCTCCTGTAAACCATGCTAGCAGCAAAGAGGGAGAAGAGATGGCTGTATTTGCAGGCTATTAGAGTCAAACTGACAAAACTGTGAACTGCGAACTAGCCACAAACTAATTAATGTTCTTGCAACAATAACATTCCAGAAATATATCTGGTGTTCACAGTTTTCTGATTTGACTGCAACTCATAAAAATAAGGAAGCGACCCCTAATGCTATCAATTCAAATTGGTAGACTGAAGCTGGCTTTACAGTTTTCAGTGGGTTTGAATATGATACAACAGCAGGATAAAGGTGCACAGTACTGTAACTACTGTAGAAAGGTCCATGCATGTTTTTCCTTCTGTGTAGGTATAACAGCAGGAGTCCATAACCGAGACTGTGTCCCCTATGTGCCACCTACACTGTACATAGCCCACATGATAGTCACAAAGGTGTCTATTTGTGAATGGGCTAATGGTCCTTTTAATGATAAAGAAGTTAAAGTTGTCTAGACGTATTTAACGTCTGAGACTTTTATGCCGACTGGTGCAAAAATGGGACACACAAAAATAGATGAAACTGACTCTTCCCACTCCTCTCTGGACGAGTTAGGTATAAATGCCTCCCAATTAACTGCGTCCCATTTTATACTAGATGCATTTAACTTTTTTTTCAAAAATTCATAATAAAGGAAAGGTTTTTTTCTTGAATTATGATTCTTGGTATTCTTGAAAGGGTTGTGTGAACTAGCTACATGTAAGTTATGTATTAAAGTTGTCTACATGTACATGTATGTACCTGATTCCCATGGCTGTCAATAGACTGTTTAAAAATGCCATATTCATATCTGATGCCATAACCATACGCTGGATAACCTAATGTCGTCAGAGAAGCCAAAAAACATGCAGCCAGCCTTCCAAGACCACCATTTCCAAGGCCAGTATCTTCTTCTACTTCTTCCAGTTCTTCCATCTCAAGACCAAGCTGAAGAAAAAGGGCAAATTATATGTTATGGTTAATCTGTCTGCCTGCAGTGGGCTAAATTTGCACTAAAGGGTACAAGATGAGCTGAATTTTGAAAACTTAATGCCACCTTGTAAACACGAAGATTAGTATGGTTCTTGCATGGGAAGTGTGACAAATCGTGGTATTGTACCGGGTTTACAAACACTCCATTCCAACAATTTTATTAGAAACAAATACCAGTAATTCAAATACACTGTTGAACATAACAGGATTAAAAACTTCAAATAGCAGGAGGCAACCAGTTTGCTATTTAGAAGCTTGGCCATGGTTTTGAAACGAGGACAACCAAGAACAGATTTGGAAGCCAGAGCAGGACACAAACCCAGGAATGCCAGATTGAAAATGATGACTCGTCCATGTTTCCTCCTCAAAATGGTGTGACCTTGGCACAAAAAGATTCCTCATATCACCCATTTTTATTTTCCACATTGCAAAAGGGCGTTGTTTCAATGCTGCTACAACTGTGGGAATTTTAGTGTTTTTACACTTTATGGAACAAGAAGTAATAACACTTGACTATGCTTGCAGGTAGTTCATGACTGGTGAATATGTTTAATAAAATTGTCAAATTTTCAGCCATGAGAGGACACAGAGGCTTTTTACTGGAAGAACCATCCCACGCAGGCATATTTTCTCCGCTGGCAGCTAATCCGACTTAATCCCATTAAATATATCGCGCACATCGAAAGTGCAAAAATTTTCTTGTTGTGTATTAGATTTTAGATACATTTTCTTAACCTTCATTTCGCGCCAGAAACAATTAGTTTGCGCGCAAAGGGCTCCTAAAAAAATCACAAGGTTTGTCCCACTTCGAGTCCACCTTCTGGAGATATGCTGGCTTGGTAGCTGGAATACATTGCCGAGGTGAAGATCTGGCATTTTTTCCTCCTCGTCGTATTTTCTTCATGACAAATGTTTATATTTGTAGTGAGAATGCAGCACATATCGGTGTATTTTACTTCATGCGGCTTGCTACTTCTGAAAGAAGAGTACCGGATTTCATCGTTTTGTTCATGTTTATTAGTGTTGGCAAATGTAAGGTAAAT